CCGTTCTCCTCCACTCTCCCTCTCACCCCCACCCCCTCACCTTCCTGTCATTCGAGGTGACCATCACGTAGTCCTCATAATCCGATTCAGGATGGAACTCCAACTGCTCGTCGATGGCGGTGAGCTTCTGGCCTTCGTCGTCGTGGACCAGGTCGCTCTTGTGCCACTTCTCCCCGCCGTCCTCCGTCACGTACAGGAAGTGCTCATAGCCGATCAGGTACACCTGCAAACACACGCGACACACAACCATGACAGGATTTTCAAAAACCTTTTTTCAAACACATGCAACACAACAAGCAACATAGGACTTTCAAAAATCTTTTTTCAAATATACACAAGACGCAACTCACAACCATGACTGGATTTTCAAAAATCTTTTTTCAAACACACGCAGCGTACAACCATGACAGGATTTTTACAAATCTCTTTTCAAACACACCTGACAAGGAAGTATTACTGAATTTTTTAAAAATCTTTTCTCAAACACACGCAGTGGGCTCTCGTGGCCAAGAGTTTAAGGTGTTCGCTTCCCATTCAAAGGTCTCGTGTTAGAATTCAGGTAGCGACAGACAAATTTTCTTCTAGAAAATTCTCCTTTCCTGCTCTCTAGCAATGTTCTGTCGTCTGCTTTCGTCTCCACTTTCTGCCTCCACCCCCCTCACCTCCTTTGCCCCCTCCTCTGGGCTCCTGACTCTTTCTGCAGCCTTTTTACTGTTACTTCTTCGCTCCTTCTTACTGCTGTCTTTCAGCCACACCCCTGATCTTCTGATAGGAAAGACTACACCTTGCCTTCTTGGACAAGAGTGAAAAATCTTTGAGGTTCCATGTGCAAGTTGTACACGTTAGAGATCCCTTGGTGGTTTAAAATCGATAAGAGTAGGCTTCGGCCGCCACCTGGGCAACATTCAAAATTTCCTACCTACTGAAAATGTTTGATGTGTCCCACGCACTCATGACCTTATGGAGACGAAAGCAGACAACAGAACATTGCTTGAGAGCACCTCAGCAACAACCAATCTTGTTTTCTTCTGCGGAGAGAGAGAGAGAGAGAGAGAGAGAGAGAGAGAGAGAGAGAGAGAGAGACTGACCTTCTTGGGGTTGTGCGGATTCCTCTGCAGGCCGTCGCTCTGTCGGAAGATGTTGTTGTCCACATGATCGTTCCAGTTCTTCCAGCTGCGCCCATTGTCGGTGCTGGCCACGTACACACAAGGCAAAGTATTATAGTATTATAGAAACATGATAAAACATCTTTCTCATTATAATATGATGTTTTAGTAAGTAAAAGTTTTGCCGCACTTGCTTTGTTTGAGGATAGAGAAGCACATCAAGACAATAATGATCTTTTAGAGCTGGGAAAAATATAACACAGACAGACAAACAGACAGACAGACAGACAGATACCCCCCGGAGCAGTGCCACTGACTGAAGTGTCTCTAGGCCATTTCCAAAGGGGAACATTTCTCTTTCTTATTATGCACAGTAGAATTGTAAATGAGCTGATTCAACAGTGCCTGAACTACAACAGGGAACTGCTGCTTTTTCTTTCCTCATCCTTACTATCGTCATTTTCCCTCTACTTCTTTTGTATGTTTGTCACTCTCTGGTGACCCGCTATTTCCGGGATGCCTTGATAGTCGAAGCAGACTTTGTGCTGTTGAAGCTACAGTGGTGAGCAGAGTAAGCCTGATACCCTGTGAGGACTTCTCTGTTGACATCCACCCCTTGGCGCTCATATGACCTTATGCAGTTGCGAGCACCGTAAAACCTCTACCAAAACAAAACAAACAGAAACAACAGAAGGAAAGGAAAGAAGTAGGACCTACCAGTGGCGCCCTCCAACCACCCGCATGGCACTTCAACGCAAATAGATCATACAAGTGCCGAAGATCAGAGGTGTTACAAGACTGTATTTTAGTTTTAGTAAGTGTTTTACGGCACTTGCAGCACAATAAAGTCATATATAAGTGCCGAAGATTACTACAAGAAAGTAACAAACACAAAAAAAAAGACCAAAAAAAAGAAGGACGCAAGAAAAAGAAGGAGAAGAGATAAGGAGGATAGATGTTTGATAGGAAAGAAGGAGCAAACCACACCGGGGCACCCACCAACCACCCACTACTAGAGTGTAACATACAAAAAAATAAAGAAAAGAAGCAGAGATAAGGACGATAGATATTTGAAAAGAATTTAATGAGCAAACCAAACGAGAGAACCCACAATCCACCCACTGATATCCTTAATACATGAGAACTGAACTTCCTAGGAAAGTCTGCAGTCTGCAACACTTTAAACCAAGTGACTTTTGGTTAGGACTTAAAACCGAACAACAATTATTTGGTTTTCTTTAGTTTTAGTAAGGTTTTACAGCGCTCGCGACTGCATCAGGTCATATCAGCACCAAGGGGTAGATGTCAACAGAGAGGTCCAAACGGGGAATCAGGCTTACTACTCTGCTACTCTTTTCTAGCCTCAACACCAAAAAGTCTGCTTCGACTGTCAAGGCACCCCGGAAATAGCGGGTCGCAAGAGAGTGACAAACATGCAAAAGAAGTAGAGGAAAAATGACAATAGTAAGGATGACGAAAGAAAAAGCAGCAGTTCCCCCTGTGTTGTTTCAGCACAGTATGAACATGACATTGATAAATCAGCCCATTTACAATTCTGTAGTGCATAAGAACATGTTAATATCCTCCCTTTCGGAAAGGCCTTAAGACACTTCAGTCCGTAGCACTGCCCTGGTGGGGGGGTGAGACAGTTATTTAGAATGGTAGTTTGCACTAAAACTGATGATACATTTGGACAAAAACAATATAATTTATTAATGTGCATAAGCAACAAACTCCAGTCTCATAGAGAAAACACACATTTCTAAATTCTTGAAATGGACAGAAAACAAGAGCCCCACAACACATAAAACACAGGACAGCAAAGATACGCAATACAAAAGATCATGGTGGGTTACAATATGCCTTGCAGATCACAATAACCAATAAGTACCTTCATATGTGTGGCGTGCTGACAAAATGAGTTACTTCTCGCAGCCCACTGAAGGAGATATTGGCACAAAATCAACACCGAGGTCAAATTAGTAGTTCTTCTATTGATGCTCTACTTTTATGTATAACATGCCTCTTATTATTTCATACTTATAAATTGTAAAACTTCGCTTATAAGCATGATGTTTCTACTTCCATAAGGCTTGAATCCGAGAAGTAACTAATTTTGTCAGCACACTTCACATATGATGATTCATATCTCTATTTTCAGCAATATTAAGGCTTCCTTTTTATTTCTTTTTTCAAATAATATTTTCAGCATCATCATCATGTGAGCTTCTCAGAGAACAACTTCCAACTCGTTTCGTGAAGAATTTTATGTCACTTGCAACACAAACAGACCATAAGTTTTTACGTTTTAGTAAGTGTTTTACAGCACTTGCAAGACAATTAGGTTATATAAGTGCGGGAGACTAGAAGTGTTATAAGAGAGTAACAAAAAAAGAAGGAGAAGAGATAAGGACGATAGATGTTCCATAGGAAAAAAGGAGAAGAGATAAGGACGATAGATGTTTGATAGGAAAAAAGAAGGAGAAGAGATAAGGACGATAGATGTTTGATAGGAAAAAAGAAGGAGAAGAGATAAGGACGATAGATGTTTGATAGGAAAAAAGGAGCAAACCACACCAGAGCACCAGCTAACCACCCACAAACAGACCATAAGATTAAGGATGCTGCAAGAAAGTAGCATATACCAAAAAAAAGGAGGAGAGAGAAAGATGATAGACGTTTGATGGGAAAGAAGGAGCAAACCACACCAGAGCACCCGCTTGCCACCCTCCCTCCAACTGTAGTAGTAGTAGTATGGGGTTTTACGGCGCTCGCAACTGCTAAGGTCATATGAGCGTGCTTCTCCAACTGTAACAAAAACTGCGGGCTGGTGAAGTCATTTGACTTCCTTTTCCCCTTTCACACAAGCAGAGGTGATTGAACTTTTGCTTCTTATCAGCGGACAAGTGAAGTGTGTGTGTGTGTGTGTGTGTG